TTAGAACTGACCCAGACTAAGTCGCCTACTTGAAACTGTGAGGGGCGACGATGTTTGTTCGCTTGCTCTATCATCCTATGCTGGGCTTTCCTGAGGTTCTCTACAACAGTGGCTAGTTCTTTCTCGTGCTGTACAGCAAACTCCCTGGTCCCGGGCGGTAATCTGTGAATCTGATCCCGGTTGAGTCCCTCAAACGGTCTGCGCGGTCTAAAGGACTTGTGCAGTTCGTTCGGAGTGCGGCAGGTGGATAAATGCATGCTGTTATTATACGCACTAGCTACTTTAGGCAACATCTCGTCCCAGTTAATCTGATCTGGCCTAAAGTACATACGCAGAACTTGCTGTAGGATCTTGTTCATTTGCTGTCTGGCCGTTAATCTCTGGATGACGACCGGACGACATCAACAACTTAGATCCATATACTCCCATGAGTTCTTGCCAGTTCTGGCTAGTAAAGCGACTATCTCTATCGCTAACTATAGACAGTGGGATTCCAGTCTCACTCACCCAACAGTCAAAAAATCTCTGTCTGACTAAATCGGTACGTGCCTCTGAAGGCAAAGGAACAAAAACTGCGTACTTACTAAAACGGTCAACTATGACCATGACTTCGCTCTTGCCATGCCTACTCTTGACTTGAGTGTCCATGAAGTCTATGGAAACTGAGTCTCCCGGCTGATCCGGAATGGGCAAGGGTCTGAGAAGACCTAGCGGGGCGCGTGTAGAACTCTTGTTGCACTGGCAAACCTTACAACTGCTAACATACTCTACGCAGTCATTCTTCATCCCCGGCCAGGTATACGCGCGCATCAGATTGGCTAAAGTCTTTTGCCAACCCAAATGACCCTCTGTGGCGTGGCATTCCCCCAAAATCAAACTACGGATCTCTTCACTATTGGGGACGCACAGCCGGTCACAAACATTAGTCTTCTCAAAAAGCAACTCCTCAGCAGTGCGGTGGTTCGGTTTAGTCTCTGGGGCCTCCTTGACCTTCTTGAGGAGGTCACTGTAGATAGGGTCCTGCGCGTAGGCTTCTCTAACCTTCTGCTGCAGATCCTTCCCTATATCGAGGTAATGTACTATTGCCCCAAAGTCGTACTGATCTATCATCCTACTTGAAACTGTGAGGGGCGACAATGTTTGTTCGCTTGCTCTATCATCCTATGCTGGGCTTTCCTGAGGTTCTCTACAACAGTAGCTAGTTCTTTCTCGTGCTGTACAGAAAACTGGGTAAATGTGGAGGTGTGCTGGAAGTTCTATGGTATATGACGGTCCATCTTCGCCGCCCTTGACTTCTAGAATGGGCCACGGTCCTCTATATGTGGGCAGTAACTTCTGCGAGATGTTCTCCTCAGGTGTTTGGGCGCACAGCCGCCATAGCCAATTACAAGAGAACTCTTATCTGGTTACGATATCTCTGAGTACCGTGTGGGCGCATGTCGCCAGTTTGCTGTTCTGCTGTTCACGTGCATGAAAAGTGTGAATAAGTCGAGTCTGGATGCACTGGTATCGGAGCTGGTTCCCGCTGTTCCGCGYGCGCCGTCGTGTGCAGGACCAATGCGCCATAGCTGAAGTGGCCGTTGGAGAAGGCAGTCCGCCATAGCGGACCTCGAGGTGGAAGAAGCCGCCGCGCACCTGCAACAAGAAGACCACGACGAAGAAGAAGATCGAGAGAGAGAGATGAGAGATACAAGATTGGGTTCTTACCTGCTGCGCTGAAGATAGCGCTACGGCGGAAGAGAGAGAGAGAGAGAGAGAGAGAGAGAGAGAGAGGAGCGATCCAAGATTGGTTGTCACTTACCTGTGAGGCGAGCTGCGCTGTCCGACGGAGGAGGAAGATAGCGGCCATAGCCGCGGAGCTTCATCACAGGGCATCGAAGGAGAAAGACAGGGAGGACAGAGAAGGCGGGACTAAGGAGAGAGAGAAAGAGAAGTGTGGAAGGAGGACGCTGGAGAAGAAGACAGACATAGCCGGGGGTGAAAAAAAAAAAAAACAAGAACAGAGAAATTGAAGAAGAAGAAGGGTGAAGGAAGGGGAAGTAAGCGGCGAGGGTGATGGTGTCGGCAGCCATAGCCGAGGTGAAGGGTTGACCGGGCGTTGACCAGAGCGTTGGCCAGAGGGCTGACAAAGGGTTGACCAAGCGTTGACTAGGAGGTTGCCCGTGTTGACTCAGCGTTGACCACAACTGCTGACCAAGATTTTGACCAAGCTGGAGTTTGTGATATCTCGCTGAGCCCTTAGCCTATCCCCTTACCCTGTGGATGTGCACTTACCCCACGGTACTTGCTGAGTTTAAGTCTGTTTGTCTTTCCTTTCTGCATTGAGTCCCTTCTGTCTTAGRTGATAGCTCTCTGTGGATGAAGGATAAGGCCTTGCTGCCAAACCTGCACGGGACTTAGTAGGACTAATCTCTMCTCTGGCATCTGGAGACCTGGGCATGAGCGGCGAGCGCTCGTTAAACAACTCGTCTAGCCCAATGACCGGTACTGTCCGGCAGGTCTTCTGACTTCAGTGTAGAGGGTCCGAACTCCGAGCTGTAGGCTGAAACGAAGGTCGTCTTTAAGTGTTGAGGCCTGGTTGAACCACTCCCTTACCGGACCTAGTAAGGCTGATGATCTGTGTCTGACGACTCGACTGTCCCGAGGGATACGAACCCCTCCAAGGACCGGTACAGACCGGCGGGCTGCTCGGTGTGGCACAGTAGGCCGGAACGACTGAGTTGTGGGCTGAAATCGCCAGGAAGAACTACGCTAATCACGTCGTCCTGACTGCGACGTCAAAGAATTCTTGCGGAGTTTGGGGGATCTCCTGAAATGCCTCCTGATCAGCTGTTAGTTCAGTAGTGACAGCCTTAGATAGTTGTGAGTAGTGGATCGTAGAGAGTCAGACAGTAGGTTAGTGTGTCCGGGTAGGTCTAAGTGGTGAGGAGTGGGACATTGTCGTGCACCTAACGCCACGATGGATGACTATCTGATGTATGGGTTGCTGGTTGGGTTCTCCCTCTGGGGGACCCTCTGGCGTCTCCTCTTTCCTCTGGGGTTCTGGCACACCTTCACGTGTAGAGTAGATACCCGGGGTGGTGCCTCCACCAAGCCATACACAAGGAGGAGGAGAAGATGGCCGCCATCTTGCAGGAGAGGAAGGAGAAGGAGGCCAAGAAGAAGGCCTTGAAGGAGGAGCAGGCGGCCAAATTGAAGAAGATAGAAGAAGAGATGGCCAGAGAGAAGGAGAGGATACAAAAAGAAGAGGAAGAAAAGTTGAAAGAGGTGGAAGAGGAGGAAGAAGATGAAACGTCGTTGCAGAGGAAGAAGGGGCAGTACAGTGGCAGTAGGGATGAGGAGATGGAGAAGCGGATTTCAGAGTGGGTCGCCAACTTATCCCTGGGCGAAGAAGAGGAGGTGGCGATGTATATCCCTAAGGATGATCAGGAAGCCGCTATGAGAGCTTGGGAAGCAGAAAAAGATGTTGTGAAGCGACAGGCAATGGAAGATAAGAAGAGAATGGAATGGAGGTTGGCGGTGATGAGGGAGAAGAAGAGGAGAGTGGACGCGGCAGCGGAGGCGGCAGAAGAATTAGAGGAGGTAAAAAATATAGAAGAGCAACTAGCCACCCAGACTGAACTCCCAGCCCAAATGCGAGTCATAGCCCGAAATGTTGCACGCCTGGCACGAATTCAGGYGAAGCAATATGACTTTAGTTGGAGTCAACACATAGCTGTGCGTTCAATAAAGTTGGGATTCCGGGACTTTGCTCGAGAGTTGGTAGGCACTATAGGCACTAAGGTGGGCCACCGCCTCGACAAGACTGAGCGGTTTTGCGCTGGCGCCATTGAGGGCGTCAAGGCGGCAGCCCCCAAGGAGGAGGAAGCACRTCCTCCTCGCTGGGAACCAGTCAAGGTCAAATTCCTTGATTCCTACAGTGGGAAAAGGGAAGAGAACTTTGACAACTGGGAAGCCAACGTTTAGACCTATGTGCACTTTCAACAGGTCTCCCCGGATCAGCAGGTTCTAATTGCGATCCACGCGCTGAGAGATGAGGCCGCCAGTTTTGCAAGGTCCCTAGTTCGCGCTGGCAACTGTAGTGACGATCCCGTTGCGTACTCCTCGTTCACGTCCCTCACCGAATTCCTGAAGTTGTTGCGCGAGAGATTCGCTGATGTCACCCGCAGCGTTAAAGCCTTAGATAGGCTGCAGACGATCCACTCTCGTAAGTGGAAAAGTGTCAGGGCCCTTAAGAGTACAATGGATGACTTAGTGGTTGTCCCTGACCACGAGGTTACGGACACCCAGTTGGTCGGCCTCTTCTATCGGGCTATACCCCGTGGTCAGGGACAGCCACTAAGTCATCCATTGTACTCTTAAGGGCCCAGGCACTTTTCCACTTACGAGAGTGGATCGTCTGCAGCCTATCTAAGGCTTTAACGCTGCGGGCGACATCAGCGAATCTCTCGCGCAACAACTTCAGGAATTCGGTGAGGGACGTGAACGAGGAGTACGCAACGGGATCGTCATTACAGTTGCCAGCGCGAACTAGGGACCTTGCAAAACTGGCGGCCTCATCTCTCGGCGCGTGGATCGCAATTAGAACCTGCTGATCCGGGGAGACCTGTTGCAAGTGCACATAGGTCTAAACGTTGGCTTCCCAGTTGTCAAAGTTCTCTTCCCTTTTCCCACTGTAGGAATCAAGGAATTTGACCTTGACTGGTTCCCAGCGAGGAGGACGTGCTTCCTCCTCCTTGGGGGCTGCCGCCTTGACGCCCTCAATGGCGCCAACGCAAAACCGCTCAGTCTTGTCGAGGCGGTGGCCCACCTTAGTGCCTATAGTGCCTACCAACTCTCGAGCAAAGTCCCGGAATCCGAACTTTATTGAACGCACAGCTATGTGTTGACTCCAACTAAAGTCATATTGCTTCGCCTGAATTCGTGTCAGGCGTGCAACATTTCGGGCTATGACTCGCATTTGGGCTGGGAGTTCAGTCTGGGTGGCTAGTTGCTCTTCTATATTTTTTACCTCCTCTAATTCTTCTGCCGCCTCCGCTGCCGCGTCCACTCTCCTCTTCTTCTCCCTCATCACCGCCAACCTCCATTCCATTCTCTTCTCATCTTCCATTGCCTGCCGCTTCACAACATCTTTTTCTGCTTCCCAAGCTCTCATAGCGGCTTCCTGATCATCCTTAGGGATATACATCGCCACCTCCTCTTCTTCGCCCAG